ATTTTGAAGTTTCTTTTTATTTAAGTGGTGTTGTATCACATTCTAATGTTCAAGTGTATGGATTCAAAAATTTGTAATGAAATTATCAATTTTTATGCAATTCCAAAATTTGTTTATAAAGTGTTATTTTCAATTTTGTGGGTCAATTACCATAAAAAAAAGGTCTACAAAAACGTTGCAAAAAGTCTACCACAACGTTGAAAAAATGCTGCAAAAGGGTCTACCGTAACGTTTAAAAAATGCTGCAAAAGACTTTTTCGCAACGGTGAATAAACGTTGCAAAAAGTACGTTGCAAAAAGTCTTCTCTCGACGGCAACACCGACTCCCTCAACACTTGGAAAAACGATGCGAAAAGTCTTTTACAACGTTTTTTGGCCACTGCAAAAGCTCTTTTTTGGTGTAGTGTACGTTCCAACGGGTCTTGTATATTATATAAATTAGATAAGCAAGGCTAGTGGGTTTTCTATGCTGGATCATACTGTAAGTTCTTATTGTCTATAGATGAAGTTATAGGCTTGGTTCCGAAATTTTTAATCTTGTGAAGAATTTTCTGTCAACAAATCTTGTGTTATTTAATACTTTGTTTATTATTGTGGCAATTCAACATATGATAAAATTGATTTGACTGACTAAACATTTAGAACAATTAAAAAGTAAATTGTTACTTTTAGTTGGTAATTTTTAATTTGGCGATATTCACCCCCTAAAGTGATTTTAGGATCGAACTAGTAACTTTCAGAATTGAATAGTGCCACGTTTTCACACCTCCCACAATGTACTTTTAGACTACGTTCACTCTTTAGTTTCCTACCTTTAAATTAAATAAAAAAAAATAAGTGCAATAAAATCTCAATAAAAATCTTATTTTGATTTAAGCATAAGCCAATATACGCTATTTGATAAACATCATGTCAAAACTCTTTAATTCACATACTCATTCTCAACAACATATTTACATAATAAAATATTTTGCACATAAATACAAAACTTTTCCATACTTTTTAAACACACATTCTCTAAAAA